ATTGAAGTTGAAGATTTGAATGGAGCCGTGCGCGACAAAGAAGAGGAAGAGTCGCGCGGGAAATATATCTAAATATTTATTTAAATTATTGTTGAGTCCGTAAATAGATAATAAGTCTATTTACATAGAGTTAAAATAAAAAGTTTACCATAAAGGTAACTTCAATAGGGCGGCCGAGAGGGAGTCCTAGGGTTTTCATAAATTAGTTTTAAAGATTAATGTATAACCGGTCCTAGAGAGTATTTCATTAAGGGTAGAATAATCTTTTACCATTAAAAGAAGTAAAGTTAATTACTTTGTTTGATGGTTACGTTTAGTTAGAGTTTGAGTCAAAATTGACTACGTCTTTCCTTTCTGTGAATTGGATCGAGTAGTACAAGAAAAGTAGAGTTTCTTTGGCCTAAAGTAAAGGCTAAATAGTAGGGATTTTCTCTTGGAGAGCAGGAAAGCTTGCCTATATAAGGTGGCCGAATCCTCTCACAAAAGTGTGTGTCAAAAATTATGCGTTATTAAATCAAATAAATTGATTTGAGCCCTTTGTGGTTTTTCTTAAACAATGAGCGTTTCTTATTGTTTTGAAGGAGAAGAATAGTTAGTTCTTTCTTTCTTTCTTAGAGCCTAACGTGTGACTTGGTTCTTTGAATTAAACCGTTTTATCATGTATATGTGTTGCATGATTAATTGTTTGAAAACTAATTTTTCTTTTCATCTTTTGATATGAAGGTCGATAGGTTGAGCATGTTTGATTGCTTGGTTTTCTCAAATTCTTTGTGTCCTAGGGTTGTAGCATACCTTGTTGGTTTATCTATTTGATATAGATGAGTTTGCATGAAAATAGCATGATGAATAATGTGTTTTTGATTGCTTATTGCCTTGGTTATGATGGTGTCCTTACCAATATAGCATATATATTTGTTTGATTTGTTATAGTTAAGTGAGTGATTTACTCATATCATGTATCGTCAATTATATGGGTGATTTTTTGATTATATTGAAGGGTTTCTTCTTTTTATAAGATTAAGTTATTCAATCCGGGTAAGTATTAGGATTTTGTGTTTGAACTCTGTTTGAGTTCATAAGATAGTGGATTTCTATTTCAACGGTCTAGTTTATTTGTGAATTTTCGCACTCTTTAGGAGTCTAACTTTTAAACATCTTTTTCGTACTTTCTCGATGATGGTTCCTTTAACAAAATTAAGTTCATCTTATGGATTGCTATCATTTTTTGGTATCAGAGCAAAGGTTGAGAAGATATCCGATTCCTTTTGGAATATGGTTCGAAACCCTAGCAATGAGCTAGAATTGGTGGGACTATCTTTTATTTTGATTAAGGTTCTTTTTGTTTTCGAAAAGAGTTTTGAGAAAGTAAATCAAACTAGATTTAAATTAAAACTTCATAATTTCTTCTTTATAGAACATTTGGTTCGAAAACTAGGTATTGCTTTAAGATGAATTTATGAGTGTTTTGGTTTCGAGAAATTAGTGAGTCTTGTTGAAGTTGTGTAAACTATTTATTCAAGGAGGGCTTCACTTGAGATTTCCTTCGAGGTTGAGATTGGAGATTGGTTTCTTCATATTCAAGTGACTTGGAACTTATGTATGCTATGATTAATTGATTTAGGGTTTGATGCCAAAAGCGAAAGCGCATAGCCTTACCTTTTTTAGAGAGGTTATGTATACATGAGCAAGTGTGTGCGTGTGTATAGGTCTAGGATTCTTTGAATTTATGATCTATGAATTTCAAAGGTGGAGTATTCATGAAAATATACTACTTAGTGTATGGAAGTGATGATCTTTCCTTCTTGACTTTAGTTCTTATGAATTGGAGAAGAGTAAAATCTAGGGTTTGTGGTGTTTCAATCAATGAGACGTCCGTAATCGCTATAAGGTTTTATTAGATTGAGTCTTGTGCTGAATTAGTGTAGTTTCGACCTAATGTGCTATGTGAAGTGTCTTCGTCGACTTTCTTGTCGAGTTGCGTGTCGACTTGTGTGTGTTTCCGTCAACTTCCTTGTCGGGTTGTTCGTCGACTCTTGTGTGGTTTGATTTGAAGCTTTCTAAAAGTTTTAAATTCAATATGTGTGCAAGGTAACTTAAAGAGACCAATGTGTTCTTTGAACTTTTGGGTTAGTGATTAATTGTTTGAAGTCTTTTTTTCAAGAATAACGTGACCTTTCTTGTGGAGATTAGATTTTTCATTGCTTTGGATTTGATTTTCAAGAGTTTATCTTTTATGTGACTATGTGATTTAATTCTTGTTGAGTCATATGAATGAGATATTAGTTTTAGAGTTTTTACTCTAGGGTTTGCACGTATAAGAGTTTCCCTGACGTACTTTGGAGATTGCTTGTGTTAAAAGTATCTAAATTATATTGTTTTAAGTGTTTTTAAACAAAATATTTTCAAAAATTAGGTCTTAGATTTTTTTGAATCTATGTGATTTATGTAGTTTTCGTTTGTTGAGTTTCTTGAACTTGGTAGATGAAATAAATTTGCTTGAATGCATGATTAGTATTTTTGAATTTCAATTACATGATTGAAAGAGGGTTTATAGTATTTAACTAAAAGTTTTTTGCCTTGATTTTAATTGAATAAAATTTGAGGGTTACTTAATTGTGGAGTGGCCGAAATTTTGAATCCTATTTTTGAGTGGGAAAAGAAATTTTTGCCCGTGAGAATGTGCGTGTGTGCCGTGTTTTCTTTTTTGGAAATATCAAAAGAAAATGGGTTTTATTTGTTAATTACCTATATAATAGGAGGGGAATTAAAGGAGTTTCCTAAAAGGTATTAAGGTATGTTACTTGTTTATTTATGTGTATTTTTCGGCTGAAATAAAATTAGGGAATTAGGGTTTTCTTTTAAAGAAAGTTTCTAAAATTTAGAGTCTTATGAATTAAGTAAAATATTTTATTAAAATTGCTGTTTTTAAAATATTTTCAGCCGAATTATGTGTTAATTTTCGAATGAAAATTTGGAAATTAGTTAGGGTTTTATTAATATGGAAATTTTGAATTATTAAAATAGGAGAATTGCCTAAAAGCTAAACCTATTTTTAATTTGAAAGTCCTTGTAGGAGAAGCCATCTCATGCCTATATAAAGGGGTGTGTTGATCGAATCTTTCACACATCCCAACCTCCAAATTACTTTTTGATCTTTGAGCTAAAGCTTGCATAAGGTCTTAAGTTTGAAGGAGTAACTAAACCATCTCTTTTCTTCTTCTTTTCGAGAGATCACCTCTCAAAAGGTGAAAGAGAGTTTTTGCTAATTAGTTGGGGAGTGTCAATTTTTGAATCATCCTTTGATTCGAGAGGGGGGGTTCTCGGGTTTATCATCAAAAATCCAAGGGAGTTTTCTAGTTGAAAGTAATTTTTTGCTCATCATCATGAGTGAAGAGATTGCTAAGTCAAAGATGTGTTGTCCATTCCATGTCATTGAGGCGCGAGTCAAAGAATTGGAAGCATTGTTGAAAAGCTTTGAAGTGGGTGACATTGGAGTTCATGATGAGGTTGTCAACAAGCAATTGGTAAACTTTAGTGAAAAGGTGCTTTGTGTGGAACAAAAGCTTCAAAACCTTAAGCAAGAGCATGAAGGTTTAAGTAGGGGCATCTTCAAGGAGATCGGGTCTATGCAACGAGTTTTGATCCAACGTTTTATTGAGGCAAATTATCGAATGGATGTAGTGAAGGATTCTGCGTGTGTTGGTAAGTTAAAGCTTGAAATTCTAAATTTCTATAGTGGGATTTGTGAAGGGGTGGAATCTTGGGTTAATTATATATAGAATTTTTTTCTTAATGTGACTAGGGATAGTGTTAAGATCTCTATTGCTATCCAAGGTTTGTGAAATATAGCTAAGAATTGGAGTGTGTTATACTTGCATAATATAGATGAAAGTGAGCATACTTGGTATGATTTTAAAGATGCAATATACAATAGGTTTTGGAGTAGTGACATTGTTTATGAAACCCAAGCTGAATTGTATGAACTTGTTCCAGGTGACATGGATGTTGAGTCTTATATTGCTAAGTTTGAGGATTTTTGCTTGAATGGTAATAATAATGACTTGAATGAAGTGTTAGTTGTGAGATTCTTGAATGGCTTGAATTCTTGTTATAAAGATGATGTGTCTTTGATGGGAGAAAAAGATTTATATCGTGCACATCAAAGAGTTATGTTGTTGGAATTGCGAAAGAATAGGGCTATTTGGAAAAAGCGTAATGATAATTGGAGAGAACAAGGTGTTGCTTTGAAATATACTCCACATTGAGTTGAGTCAAACGTAGAACATGTCTTTCGTACTATAGGTGCAAATAGATTGGGTTGATAATTTGATTATGGTTATTGATGGGGGTAGTAGCATCAATATAAGTGAAGAGATTGTTAGAGTTAATCACTTGGAGGTGAATGACTTAAGTGAACTTTACAAATTACATTGGTTGCATGGTGGAATGGAATTGAGTGTTACTCAAAGTGTTAAGGTGGATCTTCACATTGGGGATCTTGTTTCGATTAAGTCACTTGATATTATACCTATGACGGCGTGTGACATTGTCTTGGGTCTACCTTTCATTAAGAAGTTGGGAATGGTCTTTGTTGCTTCATTGAATGTGTTCTCATATCGAAATCATGAGAATAGATTGGTGGAGTTGAGATCATTATCTCCATGAGAGAGTGAGCATATCATGTTTAAGAGACGTGAGCTTGCTAGAGCATTGTGCAAAGTGAAGGATGTACAATAAAATAAAAGGAAGGTACATTCAAGGAGGGTGAATCGAGTGGTGGTGTAAGAGGAACACTCAACACTAATCATGATTTATCTTTGTTTTATTTTGTAGGTAAAGATGTAAGTCTTGATTCGAGGACGAATCCTTTTCAACAAGGGGAGGATGATGAGAATCATGTAGCTTCACATTGAAATCAACATCAAATGAAGGAGGAAAAGGTGTTGTTGTCAGTTGGTGGTCCAAGGTTGTTTCCGTTTAAGAATAGAAGAAAGTTTGCTATGAGAACTTGGTCTTCTTTGAAGGAGCATTTACCAACCCCTTCTAGTGGGAGCAATGAGGTTGAAGAAGAATCGCTTAATCATCAACAAGTGTCTAAGGAGTCAAGTGGTGATTTCCCTAGCAAGTGGAATGATTCAAGTGATGAAGATTCCAGGGATGTCCAAGAGATCGGTGCAAGTGAGTTTGTTCCAAAGAGCAAGCGTCTTGAAGAGATTGAAGATACACATTCAAGTGTGTAGAAGACATCAAATTGAAGTTGAAGATTTGAATAGAGCCGTGCGCACCAAAAAAGAGGAAGAGCCGCGCAGGAAATATATATATATATATATATATATTTACTTAAATTATTGTTGAGTCCGTAAATAGATAATAAGTCTATTTACCTAGAGTTAAAATAAAAAGTTTACCATAAAGGTAACTTCAATAGGGCGGGCGAGAGGGAGTCCTAGGGTTTTCATAAATTAGGGTTTAAAGGTTAATGTATAGCCAGCCCTAGAGAGTATTTTATTAAGGGTAGAATAGTCTATTATCATTAAAAGAAGTATAGTTAATTACTTTGCTTGATAGTTAAGTTTAGTTAGAGTTTGAGTCAAAATTGACTACGTCTTTCCTTTCTGTGAATTGGATCGAGTAGTACAAGAAAAGTAGAGTTTCTTTCGCCTAAAGTAAAAGCTAAATATTAGGGATTTTGTCTTGGAGAGCAAGGAAGCTTGCCTATATAAGGTGGCCGAATCATCACAAGTGTGTGTCGAAAATTATGAGTTATTAAATCAAATAAATTGATTTGAGCCCTTTGTGGTTTTTCTTAAACAAATGCGCGTTTCTTATTGTTTTGAAGGAGAAGAATGGTTAGTTCTTTCTTTCTTTCTTAGAGCCTAACGTGTGACTTGGTTCTTTGAGTTAAAGCATTTTATCTTGTTTATGTGTTGCATGATTTAATTGTTTTAAAACTAATTTTTCTTATCATCTTTTGATATGAAGGTCCATAGGTTAAGCATGTTTGATTGCTTGGTTTTCTCGAATTCTTTGTGCCCTATGGTTGCCTGATACCTTGTTGGTTTATCTATTTGATATAGATGAGTTTGCATGGAAATAGATTGATGAATAATGTGTTTTTGATTGCTTATTGCCTTGGTTATGATAGTGTCCTTACCAATATAACATATATATTTGTTTGGTTTGTTGTAGTTAAGTGAGTGATTTGCTCATGGTATGTATCGTCAATTATATGAGTGATTGTTCGATTATATTGAAGGGTTTCATCTTTTTATAAGATTAAGTTATTCAATCCGGGTAATTATTAGGATATTGTGTTTGAGCTTTGTTTGAGTTCATAAGATAGTGGATTTCTATTTCAACGGTCTAGTTTATTTGTGAATTTCCGCACTCTTTAAGAGTTTCACTTTTAAACATCTTTTTTGTACTTTTTTGATGATGGTTCCTTTAACAAAATTAGGTTCATCTTCTAGATTGCTATCACTAAGTCTATAAATAGAGGTTAAAGTAAATGGAAAAGACACACCCAACAATCTCACGACCATTCCTCTCTTCTCCATTGTCTTGTTTGTATTTCTTTTATAATATAATTTATTTTATTAATTAATACAAATATTGTCTCAGAAAAATAATCTAACTCAAAACTAAAATATAAAATTAGAGGACTTAATCTTATTGATTAAAAAATAAATGAAAAATTGAATAAGTTTCATGACTATCTATCAATTTAAAAATTAATTTTTAGGTTATACTGATCTCATTAATCCAATTTTAAGATTTATATTTCTAAAATTGGGCTATTTTGGAGGGTGTAAATTTTATGTGTATCATTAGCATTAATCATCTATGTAAGAGAACTAATGATAAATTTCATTAATTTCAATTCTAATGGTAATAAAAGATATCACCAAATTCTCAGCGCGTTATTTTTTGGTCTTATTTTACCAATTATACATCTTACTTGAGAGAAAAAATATAGAGAATGATTGATTATATATGTGTGTGTGTGTGTGTGTGTGTGTGTGTGTGTGTGTGTGTGTGTTAAAGAAGTGTCCTTAATTACCATGTGTTGTTCAATGGTATAGTTTAGGCCAAAAATGCCACGAGTCATTACCAAAATCATCTATCGATCATAATTTACCAGAATTAGATAATAAATATGTAAAACATTGATAATAATTTTATGTGACTTTGTTAAGATTAACTTTTGATCAGTTTATTAAAATTAATTTCAAAAAAAATTCAACCGTTGCAATTAAGAATGAGTAAGTCAATATCCCTCTCATTTAATATTCCCTCTGTCCTAAAAAATAGTACACATTGAATTTTGATATTTGTACTATTTTTAGTTCAAATTTCACAAGTCAATGTGGATAATTTTTTGCGACAGAGATAGTATTAAATAAGACATCTAATCAGAGGATCGTTCACTGTTATATTAATTTTATTAAGGAAATCCCAAATCATTCACCTTTAAAATATTATATTTTATGCATTAATTCTTTTTGATCATTACAAGCTCTCTTTTACGGATTTTTTTTTCTTTGAAAACATTTTTTTTAAAAAAAAAAGCTAGTGTTGACTTTGGGAAATAATAATTAAGTTTCTTTAGAAAAAAATACCTACAATATTTGATTTATTAAATTTATATAATGGCTACATATAATTAACACGAGAAGTGATACACATAGAGGGAAAATTACAAGAAAAAACAAGAAGGAATAATATGTCTAAGATCAAAATCATTCTTTACCTCTAAACTCCAAATGAAAAATATAAAATTTAAAAGATATGATTTAATTCACATCATTCCTTCCCACTTTTCCATGTAAATTATTTTTTACTCGTATCAATATTCAATTAAAACTATCCAAACATTTTTCCATCTTTATTATGAAACTTACAAACCAAACTGATTATAGGATTTGAAAATCAATTATCCTTTAACTATTATCTTAGAACTATTTTTTTTAATATTATTACTATCTGGAGTAAAATTAGATATTTACAACATATTAAATGGGTTAAGGTACGATAAGTATTTCTTTATCAGTTTTTGTGTGATACATTTTATAAAATTATCAAAAATACGAGATTGACATGTATGTAAGTAATCCTAATTTGGCGGAATAAACACAGATTGTTTTCATGCTAAGATCATTTTGTAATCTATGAATAATATAAACGATAGAGTATTGTGTACTTAACAGCAAACCTATCTGTCACAATCAACACGGTGAAACTTGATCACTTGATTTTTCCTAATGAATGGGTGGTCATTATCCTAGTTAGCGGCCAATCTTGATCTATAAATATTAATTTTTTATTCTAAACTTCTCATAATTAATTATCTATAGTCCAAATGAGAGTTTGTTAGTTTTATCTGAAAGCCAACTATACTTGACTGTTTAGGATTCATTGTCCAAAAGCTAATTGTCTGTATTTATTTATTCCGCTGAATAAAGATGAATTTATATACAACATCTTTCATCTGTCTTGAAAAGATTGCACTAAAAGTGAAAATTTAAACTGATCAATCGTTCTCAAACAGTGAGACTTTTGATTATAGTAATCATTAACATCTATAGTATTTACTTAAAGCAGCAAACACGAAAGACACGTGTCAGCTCCAGGATTAAAATTTTCCCTCCAAAGCTCCTCAGCGATTCTTAGTACAAAACAAAATCAACGAGAATACGCCACGTGGCTTCATATAGAGTCGGAAAATTTCAGTTGTTATTCCATTTTCAAATGAACAAATTAAATTTAAATATTCAAATTTGAAATCTTTATTTTAGGGAAGAAACTAATTATTCACGTGTGGCAATAAGTACTGTTTAAATTTTCCTAGAAAACAGCAGTAAAACTGGTTTGTGTAACTAAATTAAATAGTACATATCGATCACAAAATAGGAACTCAAAAAAAGAGTCCATAAATATAAAAAACATATTCAACCTAAATAAACTAAATTGGCGGATTGGGATATTAAGATGTGCTCCTTAAAACTGTATTTCCACCAGCATAGTCATCCCAAAAGTATAGTCAACGCGTTTTTCAGCCTTAAATTCCTGTGTTAAAAAAAGAAATGATCACATCTTATCCCTTATTCAATGGGATAATATAATCAGTGAACAGAATATGCTGACATGCACATTGTGTGTAGAAAATCACGATATCATTCAATTTAGCACAGTAACTTATGGAAATTGTAATGCATTTAAAACTCTAAAAGGATTCATATCAAAGAAATTATACTAGAAATCAAAAAAACCAATCAACTGAAATTTTGCACACACGTATATATCTGCAAGCTTTCTGTGCATATCATCAAGCACTTTCCAAGCACACAACAAACAAAAAATATTTGCCTTTCAGTAACCATTATCATCACAAATTAATCTTCACAAATATACTGTGAGCCAACGCCCAACCTGCATAAATACATCTATTATCCTCATATGATCCTTCAGCATACCATTCCTCCAATTCGCAAAAACCAGATTTGTTTTGCACAAACGTATATATCTGCAAGCTTTCTGTGCATATCAACAATCACTTTCCAATCACAGAACAAATCACAAAATATTTGCCTTTCTGTAACAATTATCATTACAAATCAATTTACAGAAATATACTATATGAGACAATATGTTACCTGTATAAATACAGCCAACATCCTCACATATCCTGCACCAGACCATTCCTGCAATTTGCAAATCTCAGATTTTCCCATTCTCATATTACCCATATCGTACTAATGGCTGAAACAAACCAAACTGCAATTTCAGTTGTTGAACCTGAAGATTTTGTTGAAACTGTGAATGAAAATGCTGTGGATAATCCAATTGTCATCCCATCTGAAGATGTCATTGCTACACCACCAAATGATGTTGGTGCTACAGGTGTACCCATACATGCTGCACAAAGATACATCGTTGACATCAATGGATTGATAGATACAAAAAGCAACCATTTCACCATAGTTGCCGAAGTGATGACACTTTGGGAGGTTCCAGAAGTATCCCAAAAAAAAACAAAGTCAAGTCTGTTGAGATGTGTTTGATCGATGCTCAGGTATTCACTTTTCCACCATAATCGGTTTTAGAGTTTTCTCATGGACAAACCAGTTAAACTGTAGTATATGTTATTAACTATTTGTATATATATATATATATATATATATATCAGGGAAGCAAAATTCAAGCAACCATTCCTGGAAGAATTGTGAAAGATTTTGCAAATTCTTTCAAAGAAGGTTGTGTTAGACGATTTTCAAGATTTGACAGTTGTCTCAATATTAGTGGGGGGTTCAGGTGTGCTAAGCACGAATACAAAATTGTGTTCATGTCAAACACAAATGTTGAAGCTGCATTTGATTTTGACATCCCAGATCATGTGTTTGAATTCACACCATTGGCTGAAGTTACAAACTTTGTGGCCAACTTTGATTATTGTTTTGGTGAGATGATTTTAAAGTTGTGGTAAAATTTCCCTATAAAATTTGTACAAAAAGTTTAAAATATTTTCAACTATGCAGATTTGATAGGCCACATCATGGCATACAGCGATCCAATTGTTGAAAATGGAAAGAAGAGGATTTCAGTGGAGCTTGAAGATGAAAGGTCAATGTTACTTGAAATTTTACAGTCTAAACAGAAATTATTCATTTTGGATTATACTGAAAGAATTAAAACATTTGTACTAAAAAAATGTCTTCTATTTTGCAGGGCTGACAAGCTAAAGGTTACTTTATGGGGTGAACATGCTGATCAAGTCACTAAATACATGTCTAACAATCCTCTATCTCCTGTGGTTCTCATTGTTCAATATGTTAAGTGCAAAAAATACTACTGTGAGTACTCTTTAGTTACTTATATGTAACTGGATATACTCATATTAAATTCAAGTTTTTGTAATTGCTATAATTTGAGATGTAATTTTTTCAATGTGTAACAGCAAAAGCTTCTGTTACTACTAATCTTTTCAATGGGAAGATATATCTTGATGATATGTCAATACCCGACATATCAGAGTACAAAGACAGGTATAATTATTGTTACTAACTGCTATAATTATCACCATATAGTTGCATAATTACTGTTTTATTCATAAGTACTGTTTCTGTATCAAACAGTTGCAAAATTGCATAATTGCTGTATATATTTTCATAACAGAAATCTCACTATATAATTCCATTCACCTTGAATGTAAAAGTCTCACATACAATATAGTTTCATAATTACCGCTTTATTCATATTGTGATTATTTGGAAACAATATATACAGAAGTAGTACCAATGAAATGAAAGCTGCAAGTATCCAAAAAATTTCAATACTTTCACACGGTTCTGGATACACATCTTATGAAGAATTCATAAATGGAGCAAAACTTTTGTCATTGGGTGACATAGATGATCTTGATGAGGTAATATATTAATAGTGATAATTATTTTATCCTTTGCGTACGTAACTATGTTATCTCCATGATCTATAAATGGTTAAACATATGAAAACTATATTTTTTCAGGCAGGGTATGTTGTGATTTTTGGAAAGATCACAGGCTTAGCAAAAGAGTATGAATGGTCATACATTGGTTGCAGAGATTACAACAAGAAGGTGGAGGAAATTGAAAAAGACAAAGGTACCCGTATTGTACCATCAGCAAAAGGAAGAAATACCAGTGACAACAAGAAATTTGGTCTTGAGAAAAAATGGTTTTGTGGTAATCATGGCCCTGTGTCTGCTGTTGGTCCAAAGTATGTTTCAATAATTTACAATCTCTTTTTGTAATTACAATATTAAATAATATGTTGTTATCAAAATTTTTAGTATGTTACTCTGTTATAAACTATTTTCCTCCATGATTTTATGAACAGGTTCAAGTTACAAGTGTATGCAATGGATGCTACTGGCAGCAGAATTTTGACCCTTTGGGACAGGATGGTCTACAATTTTATCAATAAGTCTGTAGAAAAACTCCATGAACAGGTTTTATTCATTGTTTTTAATGTGTACATTTTATTACTAAAACTTTTTAATGTTTTTTTTAAGACCATCATCATGTATCTAAACAGGAAAAGATTATCCTAAAGTACTAGATGAGATTGTTGGCAAGAAATGTCTATTCAGGTTGGATGTCTCTAGATACAATATCAGGAATAGTAGTAGTGAGATTTCTGTTGCTAGGCTTACTACTGATGCTGAAATAATCAAGAAGTACATTGATGATGTTTCTGAAGATCAGGTTTGTTTTCTTTTTTATATGGTCATATACAGTTTAATAGATTTGTACTTGATTTAAAGGAGATGCACATGATAATCTAAGTTTATTCCTATATTATAAACAGGAAATTGATCCGGAGATGTGTGCAGAGTTTTACCAAAATTTGACACCTACCTAGGTTAGCACCGCCATGGTATAATATATACACAACAAATATATTTACTTTATTTAAAATAGCAATATTTGGATGACACTTACATGTTTCATTGTTTGCAGACTGCAGTATCCTGCACTGGAGATACAGAGATAGGGAATTTGGCTGATGACATGGCTGACAGTCCTCCTCCAAAAAATAAAAGTGCAGGAAGTTGCGGTGAAGACAGTGTCAAATCCAATCCCAACAAACGTGTCAGAAAACTTTGATGTCGATGAAAGCACTTGCTACTTCCTGCTTCAACAATAAACATACACTTTAGTTTTTTAAGGTGTTCCCTATAGCCAGAATTGTTATTCTGAAGAAACATTTTTCTTATTACAGTCTACTCAGTACCGTTATACTATTTTGGTGCTGTGTATATTTGATTTCTTTTGGTATTTGAGCATTCCAGTTTTTTCATGATTAATATCTACTATTATCCGGTTTAATGACATTTTATATCTACTAATGTGTTAAAAACTTTTATAAATGTCATTGCTAGAATATTACATATTCAGAAGAAGTACATTTACTTTTGCAGTTGCTTTTATAAACAATAAATTACCTTTTGAGTTGTAGTTTATGAAATACAAACAGGAAGGTGAAAAGATTCCTGTATGAATATGCAGTCATAAGAGTTATAACCAAAGAAGTGCACTACTATAAAAGATTAGTATAGTTATTATAAATATAGAAAATGGTTTGAAGAAGAAGGGGTGTTTGTTGGTTGCTACAATTGAATCCTGAAGTTAAATAAATGAAAGCACATAGAAGGAAGGAGAAAATGAAGATGAAATCACAGTGAATTGGCAATTTACTTTTATTTTTATAGGAACAGAAATAATTTTCATTTTAACGTTGAATTATCAGACATCAATTATTGTTATAGTAAAAGTCAATGTATTCTTTTTTACTTAGAGAGTTTAAATGAATAATAAACACAATACTTCTCCAATTCCTAAAAAAGTGGAGATTCATTGTAATCCTGTTTTTTTGTGGATTTGAAACGATGCTAAATACAGAGCATGTTATTATTCTTAGAGCATGTTATTATTCTTTATAACTTTCCTGATTCTTTTAAATCCCAATTTTTTAGGGGTTATCTTCAATTGTCATAAATAGGAGACAATATGTATGGTGATTTATATACACTTTTCCAAGCAAATCATCATTACAGATCAAATTTCCATAACAAAAAACTATACTCCATAAGCCCTTTTTATATTCATATAGCATATACACTCTGATATCACCATACAGACTGCATTGAAGTAAATAATGGAAGAGGCTTATGATCAATTGATTAGTGTTCCAATAAACATTCGCAGAAAAGGATTGGTAAGTCCTTTATAATGTTCTAATTATAAACAAATCGATTATAAAAATCCTTTTTAGTATGTTACTCTGTTATAATCCTTACTGACAACCAGTTTTATGTACATTATTAGATTCTTAGCAGTAACTTAACTTCAGTCCTGAGGCATGTTGGTAAACAGATCAAGATTGATTTCCAGGGAAATCGATATTTCTATACACATCTCCATATCACTAGAAAGAGGAGATTTCAGTTATATGGATCTGCACTGGAAGCTTTTTTCCAGGAGTTTGGAATATCTTCCAGATCCAAAATTAACTTTGTTTATCACAGATCACTAAATTGTTACAATTATTTCATTTTAATTATGATGGATGTGAAAGGATTCACCCAGATGTCAATGCAAGAACTGGTAACCGCTATCTGTTGAGATTAGATCATGGTACATCCAAACAAACTGTAAGTTATTAGTGTTATTAACTTTTATGATTCCTTTGTATATTGTAATTTATCTTAGTACTTTACACTAAAGAACTATTGAGAATCTGTATATAACTGGACTAATCATAGGGATTTCATGGTTTTCAGGCTATTAAAAAATGTTTCTTTAATGGTATTGATTGGCCTTCAAATCAAACTACAGCAAAGTGTGTTGATGTTAAGCGCAATCAATGGGAGTTCATGATCATGAAGGAAAATAATGAACCAGTAGGTTTTGAAGGCCGGATGTGGGAGGAGTTTCAAGACTATTATTATAACAGAATAAAATGTGTGAATGTAATTGTTATTTACACTGGAAATTTGTATTTCCATTTAAGGCTTTTCAACAATGAAGGTTACTGCTGCAACCTAGATATCGTTGATTCAGATACATCTGAAGGCTTGTACCTACTGTTTTTCTTATAATTAATTCACTGAATTCAACTAACATTATTATCATAAAACATATTCTAATACTAATATCAATTTATATTCAGGTGAAGTTGACACAGTGGACTATCTATGCAGCAACGGTGATCCTAACACATTTTCTGTAGTCCTGACTGACAATGTGATAAACCATGGTAGATTGGTAATAAAATTTGTTTCATAGTAGTTTACGTCCACTAGGAATTTGATTAAATTAATCAATTATAAAAAAATTTTTAATCATATTGCAGGAGATACCCTGGCATATAGTACGCCGATTGAAGTTAGATGACTACACAAATACTATTTTATACTATGATGGAGTTCCAGCAATTAACATGCATCGAGTTGTCACTAATGACAATCCACATCGGTTTGTTATTGAAGGTGATATAAAGTACATGGTGGATTTGAAGAAAATACCTTTAGGTATAACTTTAGGGTTCCGTATAGATGCTCGCAAGGCATGTAATAAAGAGTATCTGATTATAGAAGTCCTACAAAAGTCACTATCTGGTATTTTTTTTAATTTAATTCATATGAAAAACAATGCAATTTTTAAGTTCTTTTATGACATATTTTTTTAACGTGACTATTTTATTTTATATACACTCACAATGTGTACAAATAATCCACAGCATTTTCAATTGGATTATACACTAACAACGTATTTAAGTCAATTATATACAATGACACTAAAAAAAAATTAGACTGTGAGTAAATAACCTGTAATCAAATCGGGTTAAAAAATTATCAAAATACGAAAATCAATATAAAAAAAAATATTCTGGTACTTTTAAAAACTAATACAGATGTACAGTCAGAAATTATTGTGGATATAAAATAAAAACAACTTGATATGTCATAATTGAATAAGTATATCAGATCCCATTTTTTTAGGATGACAATATTATAATTAATCATATATATTTGATAGACACAAAAATTTTAGCCATATATAAATCAAATTTTATCAAAACTTAAGATACTACTTCACAAGTACATTCATCATTATTATACTATTATGTTTTGAATCAAAGAGCTTTGTGAATTACTTTTACATCTGCTTTCAGAAAATTTCATAATGGTAAATTCTTCTGCAAAAGAAGTAAGATTGTTCAGGAAAGATTTATTAAAAGCAAAAAGGTTGTCGCTTCAGTCACGCAGAAGAAATAAGCAAACAGTGGTTATTTCTATAGTTTAAATCAATGATGCTGTCACTAGTAAGGATGCAAGATTTACCAGGAAACAGATTTTGATAGGTCAGTTAGATGGAGGTATGCATTCAGATACGTTACAAATTCAAAAGCATTCAATAAATCTACCCAAAGTGGACCATATCAGTGCTAAACATTCAAGGATGATAAGAAAAAACAAATTATACCAGATCAGAACGCATAAGAAGTTGAAATTTCACACATCTGTTGTTCAGAATTCGATAACACCATCAAATTGTTCTGTATCGGATGGTATGTTTTCATAAAGAATTCGATAACACCATCAAATTGTTCTGTATCAGATGGTATGTTTTCATATATAAATGTGCAGATAATTATATCTGTGTCAGTTTCATATAATTTCATACATATATTTGTCTATTTTTCCTAAATTATCTGAATACATTACATCTCTGTCTTCATGATTGGTTAGGAACTGTTAACAACTCAAGATCCAACAGGAAGGAAATAATGGACAAGAAGAGAGGCAAACCCATTAAAGAAAAGCAATCAGTTATTATTAGGGGTGGTGTTATTATATGTGATTCATCTCAGATAACAAACAATATATCAGTCAATGATACTTCAGAAGTCCGTTCAAATTACAAACAGAGTACCCAGCGCAGTTTTCAGATGAATAAATTGCAAACAACAAATTGTACAAATGAAACAAATTCATCTGGTATGTCTACAAGAGAATTTTTTTATGAGTTGTGTAATTATATAGTTTATAATGATGACATACCTTTAAATTTGCTATTTCGGAAATACTGAGTATGCAGTAGTCACCACTGTAGCTGACGTCATCTTGAATGAAAATCAACTAGCTCCACAAAAAAGCGTTTCCACAAGGAGGAAGAATACATTGCGTCCTGGAAAATGTAAAATTAATCAGAAGAACTTATCATACATAAATACAGGTATTATCTTTAATTAACTGCAAACCTCAGTTAAGTACATTACTTTATATAGTTTAACAGAAAAATATCACATATATTATTAACATATTTGTTAAAATCTGTAGAATATCATGATTTGGGAGATCCAATATATGTATGTGAATTCTGCGGCGCTAATATGTGGTACGAAGAAAGGGTCAACAAACAGCGAAAACCGTTAAAGCCTAAATTCTCAATTTGTTGCATGCAAGGCAAAATACATCTACCCCTATTGCAGGAACCCCCTGCTCAGCTTAAGGAGTTGTTTATTTCAAATAATGCAAAGAGTAAACATTTTTTGGAGAACCTCCGAGCATATAATAATATGTTTGCCTTTACATCTATGGGTGGTAACATTGTAAACTCAATAAATGATGGTCGTACACCCTATGTATTTAAAATGCAAGGTCATAATAGCCATCTAATGGGCAGTCTACTACCAGAAGATGATTTGAGGCCAAAATTTTCCCAGTTATACATTTATGATACTCAAATGAAATCAGTAACAGAATCAGAGCTTTCAGGTATGTTTAACAGTTTTTATAATAGTTCAAATCCTTAGTTTTGTTTCACAGTATTATTATAGACATAATATTTACACACTACTGATCAAATGTAATTGCAGTTCAGAGCAGAGTAAGCAAGCTAAACTTCTTGATGCACAGATTGTTAGTGACATACAGATTGCAATGGATGAACACAATGTGTTGGTTAAAAACTACAGGAAGGTACGTGACACCCTTCAAGCAGATTCTTCAGTAGAAATCAGACTCAAATTAATTTCAACTAGAGATACGGATGGTAGAACACATAATCTACCAACCGTCGATGAAGTTGCAACTATACTA